GAAGTGTTTTGGGATGTTCATAATTGGTTGTTCAGTAGCAATTTTGGGAATGCAGTGTTCATGTTTCAAACTTGTTTGTCAGCTGAGAAGTTGTGGAATACACAAACCTTGTCTGATCTCTCTGTGATGCCTTGGCCTTATACAGAGAGTACTTTGAGCAATTCAAAATCACCTGGTTTGGGTTTTTCCTTGTTTTTGTATGTTTGGAAGAACGATTAGTCGAGTGTTCTTCTAGTATTTCCCAAAAAAGATTGATTTTTTAAGATCTTGTTTGTGAACTTGATTTGAGTTATTTCTAATGAATATACTTTTTTCTTGTTACTTCCTTTTTCATCTCTTCATGTGCTATGATTATTACTTGAATCTTACGTTTCGTTTTATTCCTTTAAAGAGTCAATTTCTTTTGATTACTGGTTGTTATCTACTATTATGAATAATAATTGTGTCCATAAAGTGGAACTTTCCTTTGAGTATATGCAAACATCATTAGAGACAATCAAACTCATCATAATGGTAGTGTCTAACATCATAGCTTTGGATTAGTAAAGGTTCCATTTTTGTATGGTAAAATGTGAAATGTATTAGTAAATCTTCAGACTTTGCATGTAATATGTAAAATGATTCCAAAAAAACTGGATAAAACACCGGTAAGCAAGTCCTGTGGAGCTCCAAACTTAAGGTTTGTGTTCTACATTGAATCATCCCCATGGAAGCTGAGAACGCTTGTGATAAACTACTTTGGGGCTGATTTTGAACTTCTTACTATAACTTGCTGTGAGATTAAGAACATGAAAACTGGGAACGTTGCATACTTTGGCACATTGAGTACTAGTTGGTCTGCTATTAGATCTACAGATGCAAGAAATGATATTTGCTTTTGTCGGCTAAGTGCAGAGATTTGAAGGTATATACTCCTTTGAGGTACCACTGAAATGGAATGCTATCCGTAAACATAGATTTCACTGAAGTACATGCTTGAGTTGAGTAGTTGCACACATTTCTTGAAGGCAATTGCTATGCAATCTTGTGTTGGCGAACATATTTCACCATTCATTTCTTCGTTTTGTGAATTTCAATTCATTGGTGATTTTCGGGTGCTGAGGGTCTTTCGGAAACAGCCTCTCTACCTCAACGAGGTAGTGGCAAGGTCTGCGTACACTCTACCCTCCCCAGACCCCACCTAGTGGGATTTCACTGGGTATGTTGTTGTTGTTGTTGTTGGTGATTTTCGGGTGGAGATCATTTGTCACCAGCCATTTGGTTTTGTCCTCTGGCAATAATAACATAATTGAAGGCCTTCAGCTGTTCTAAGACGTTTTCTTTCCATGTGTTACCTATATTCTGTGTGAGAAACTTAATGGTGAAGATCGAATCTTGAATCATTGATCATCTCTACTCCAAACATTCAGCCATGAAGTATATGTAATCTTATATGCTGTCTCATTAACTTCTCTGATATGCAATTTCTTACAATTTGAGTATCTGGTGGATATGTTGTCTCTCTAACTGGTTTTACTTGTTTAGGCCTTTTAAGGGTTTCTCATGGCCTCAGCAGTAAATTTTGTTTGGAATATTTGAGCAGCTGCAGTTGATTTTTTCATTTCCCCTTTCTATTGCTGGCTTTTAGGTTTCTTTTGCTGTCTTTTAAGGCTACCACCAACGTTGTCAAAGGCGTGATTAAGCCCTGAAACGAGGCTGTGCAGTTTAATGTCGATCAAGTTTCTAAGGCATACTTTTTGGTCGTTATCAAGTTTCTAAGGCATACTTTTTCGTCAAACAATTGATATTTCACTTTATTCAGTCTTGTTAAATCTCTTTGTTCATGCGTTCATGCCTATAATTACTAGTATTGCACTAAATCTATATATGTATTTTTTATCCCTTTGTGTCCATTTTCATCCCACATTTTATTTACACTATGTTTAAAGCCCCAATTTTAGGGATTTTTTGCGCTTTTTGTTTTTGATAACACTGCTCAGCACTCATCCAATAATATGTAATGACCTCAAAAATGTTTGTTTAGAAATTCCATAAAATTACCGTTTTATCCCTCCCGATAGTTGCCCCAAATTATTTCTAATCAGTCGGTGAAGTTGGTTTGAGAATTTTAAACTATTCATTTAACTATGGTTATTAATTTATGAGTAATCTTAAATAATTTATTTTAATTGTTTAATGGGACAAATTCATAATTTAATTATTTGCCTATATCACTTGACCCATGTAAAAATAATAATAATTAAAGGGAGAGGGTTAATATTATTTGGTCATACCTCCAACCGCTTGCAAGGCATAGCGCCGTCGACGAGAATTGGCGGAAAAGGACTGCAGGTGAAACTTAATTAAGTTCCAATTTAGTTTTATACATGTTGTGTATTGGGTGGGCATTCTTTAATAATATTGTATGGTATGTGTTACTTGGAGGATAGAGATTTTATAGATGGGTGTAGAAGCAAAATTGAATATTTCAATTTGCTGTTGTTAGTTGTTAACACCACGTGGGTCCTTAAGGATTTTGTTGACAAGTTAGTGGTGAAATAGTTGTCAGTTAGGAAAAATTTATCATTGGCAAAGTAAGACTTGCAAAATTGCTTTCTGTGTAGTTCCATTGTTAAGGTTATCGATTTTTAGGTTTATTTTTATAAATTGAGAAATATTTGTTTTCCAACCTAGGCTTTGTTCCATTATTAGTTGTATATTATTGGTGTAAAGGAATGAAAGTTGAAATTTAATGCAATTTTGTGTTTAAAAGTTTATGGGACAACTTGTAGTGGTGGAGGTTGATTTATAAGGTCACTAATTAAGGTAATGATGGCTTAATCATTGGGAAAAAAATGATGAATTGGTAGTAATTTTGGATTCCAATGTGCTGTTGGTGTTGAGTTCTTAGTAGTAAGGTTTTTCATTCTTTTCGTGCTCCAAGTTACAGATGACGAATTTGGTTTAGATTTTGTATTTCTTATAGTCATTACGTGGTGATTTAAGTTTTGGTAAATTGGTTTATGTAACTAAATAGTAGGTATATTGTACTACATGAAGACCATTGGATTTATGATATTGGAGAAATTGAAACTTAACGCTAGACTTGAAACTTGGGAAGTATGATAGTTGACATGTTAATTGGCATCAAGATTAAGAACTTAATTATAAATTTGGGTGAGTTTTTGGGTCTGGTAACATAGGTATTGTTAGTTCCAAAATCTTATTGTGGTTATTTATTTAAATAGATTGTAATGATTTGGAAGTCAACCGAAAGAGGAGGGCTCAAGTTCTGGAGTCATTGTTCAACTATTTGAGGCAAGTGGATTTCTAAACCCTTGTTAAGTGTATGGAATTCATGTATTTCCTTGTAATATGTGTTTAGGGTAATGAGACTTGATGATGGGTTGACTTGTCCACATTGATTAATTCTAATGATGAGAAAGGGATAATAAAAGGCAATGTGATCAATTGTTTGTGTGATGTGTTGAGAATTGTTTGAAAGGTTTGTTGAATCATTGTTGATGTTGTATCCTGATTGTGTTGTTGTGAATTGTGCAATGTTATGAAAATGGTCATCTCTTTATTATTTGTGTGAACATGTCATTTGCATTGTTCTGAGACATGGTTGTGACAAGTGTTATGTGCATTGAGAAATAATAAGAAAATAAAAAGGATGTACCATTTCGAGGGACGTATCGCGCGCCGCGATGGATACTATATTTCGAGGGACGTGTCGCGCGCCGCGACGGATACTATATTTCGAGGGACGTATCGCGCGCCGCGATGGATGCATAGACAGATATGTCCCCCATGGGTCCCGGACTGAGAGACAGCGGGTGTGTATCATTAGGTCAGACATGCATCACTATACTTGACATTGCATTGCACTTCTTTATTTTTGGTGAACTTGATCTTGTGTGTTGCTGATCTTGTGAGTGCCTTTCTATGGAACTTGTGACTGATGAATATTGAGCTTGTTGTTGAAGATATGCCATTGTTAGAATGTTGTTGTTGAGATATGTGCTTGTAAATTGTGAACTGTTAGGTTGGGCTGGTTTTATACAGATTGTAGTTGTGAAGGTTCGGTTGGGGTGTAAGGAGTACTTGTATTCTATCCCCTTAGCTCGTGTTTAGAGGTTTACTTGCTGAGTACCGTGTGGTTTGGTACTCACCCCTTGCTTCTACAAATTTTTGTAGGTTACGAGCCTGGATTTTTGTAGTACTTGTCATTCTCTTCTTTTCCAAGGCTTCTGGGAGATTTGTGAGGTAGTTGTTTGTCTTCTCAGCGATCCTTCTTACTCCTGTTTATGATCTTGTTCTACTCTAGAAACAATGTCATATGAGACTTGTATTTTTCTTTTGATTCAATTGTAATACTTTAGAGGTTTGTATACGTGACAACCAGATTTTGGGGATATATTTGAGTTTATTATTAAAAAAAATCCGCATTTTATTGTAATGGTTGAGTTTTAGGCTGACTTGTCTTGGTGGGTTAAGACGAGTGCCATCACGTCCATTTTTGGGTCGTGACATAATACCTGGAGGATGACTTTTCCTAAACTTTTAAAACTCTTTGCACCTCCACTTATAAAAAGTTGCACTTGTTTGTCTTGTCTCATTAGAAGTGCTGTGGCTCTAGACAGCTAACTTTACATGAAAGATTTCTGCATTTGCACTTGCAAAAAAGAAGAAAAAAGGTAGCTTACAGCATTTGATTCAGGAGCATGAGCACCCGGACAATAGGTAAAAACTTACCCGCACCTCATGCCAACGAAATGTGTCTGTAATTTCATATATAGAACATGCTTGACTCACAGAAAGAAGTATCTCAATTTACAAACATTGTATTTAAACTAACGACATAACATTAGATTTAAACAAAGACATGATCGCGATAGGTAACAAGCATCCAAACAACAGTCCACTCAGTGAAAACACTTCCATCACAGGATTAGATTACATAAAAGCCAACAAATAACTGATAGATGATTTTGAAACAGAGAATACATTAGAAATATGAAATTCTAAATCCCTTGAGACAAAGTTACAACAGTTGCTATAACTATTATTCTCAACACTCACAACCAAGATTATTCTCCGGCAAATATAAAACTAGACACATATTTACATGAAGTAGTTGGCACATTTTTCACTACTTACAACACACCTAATATGTCTCTTTTACTTTATTATCTATTCAGCAATCTCAATGCTGTATTTTCTTTACTGTTACCAAATCTAAAGTAGAGCCATACATTTTATGCAGAGCTTGAGCAGACCAGCCATGTCCATCATCAACAGTAGGCATCCTTACTTCCATGAAAGGCATAGGAGCACGCTGAGTCCCGCGCACCATTACACCAGCAAAGACTCTTAGGACATTGGAAGCATCAATGTCCATGCACACACTAATCTCTGGAATACCTTTTGGTGCTGGAGGTATTCCTCTGATCTTAAAATAGCCTAGGAGATGATTGTCTTCTGCTGCTTTCTCGTCACCTTCGTAAACAAGGATCAATGCTTCAGCTTGGTTATCATGGACAGTAGTGAAAATCAGTTCTTTCCTTACTGGTGTTGTGGTGTTCTGATGAATAACTGGTACGAAGTCACTTCCATCAGCTTGAATGCCAATGCTTAAAGGAGTTGCTTGGATGGTTAACAGGTCCAAATTCCCAAATGGATCACTAATTCCTGAAGCTACTGCTCCTTCCAGTGCTGCACCACGTACAGCTGCCTCCAGCGGGTTCATTCCTGAATAAAGCTCTTCTCTTTTGCATATACTCATTACAATGTTCCGAACCTTTGGAATGTAGGAACAGCCACCAACAATTATGACATCATGTACATCTTCCGCTTCTAGTTTAGCGGCTTGCAGGCAACGTTTTATCAGAGCCTCACATTTCTCGAAGACTTCTTTGTTCACCTCTTCAAACTCTGCCCTCGTGAGAACCTTAGATAATTTTGTTCCATTTCCCAAGTCGACATCAATCGGGACACTCATATTGAATGAGAGTAGGTGGATAGCATCTTGGGTGGCAACTCGAAGCAGTCCCATTCTCTTTATTTCTTCGATTCCATGGCTTGAGAATAGATCATCCATGTTTGGTAAGAGGTGATGCATCAGATTTTGAAGTAGGTCCTCACCTCCAACCGTGCTGCCAGCCAAGGCCTTGATCTGCGAAACACCACCTGCTGTAGCTGTTATAGCTACGTCACAATACCCAGCACCCATATTGAATATAAGAGCTATCTTTTCACTCCCGCTACCCATATTTTCATGTCCAGACTGCTGTTGCTGCTGAGCATATAACAGAGCAACTGCAGTTGGTTCAGGCATCAATCTTAGAACATGAAGCCCTGCCATGGCACAGGCTCGTTCGATTCGGGTCAACTGGAATCGGCTAAATGATACCGGAACTGTCAAAACCGCATTCCTCACTGGACGTTTCAGTTTAACTTCAGCCATAGCTCTTAGTTCAACTAGAAAGATGGCAAGAACTTCTTCAGGCGTAGTGGACCTCCACATATTGTTCACTAAGGCAGCAATAAATGGCCTGACACCGATATTTAAAGTTTCAACCAAAAATGGGAGGCTCTTGCTGGCATGAACCACCGGATCTGTATCGACTCTACCAATCAGACGTTTCATGTTGAAGATTGCAGCTCCAGACAACATGTCATATTCATGAGCCAGTTCATCACTAACACCACCAGCAGGAACCTCATCTTTGAAGGTGACATATGATCTCATCAATTTCCGATTTCTCGTGTTTCTGACAAGCTCCACCTGAGATCCATTCCAAACTGCCACACTGCATTGCGAAGTACCAATGTCGATCCCAATTGCTATCTCAGGGAAAGCCGATGAAGTTTTTTCCTCCCCGGTTGTTTCACTATCAGATACCACAGTATATGCTTGTTCAGCCATGAATACAGATTAAAGAACTCCTGCATTAACAATATATACACATTCACTGATTCAATCATTCGAAAAGCAATATCACATTTCATCCGTTCCATACGATAATCACATAGCATATATCATGTTAGTCAGAGAGACTCGTGAGACTATCTAGGGTCCACAGATAACTCACGGCTGAAGCTTAATGACCCTGCTTACTCTAGACTATGACTTTTAAGACGAGAAGAAAAAAAACATCTTGAATCATTAAATATAACAGCACAATAAGCTCTTGAGGTCTCAGTTTCAAATCCTAATAGAGGTAAAAATAACTAAGTGAATTTTTTTCACTACCTGTCGAAGCCTGGTGAACAGAGTTATCTGCATAAACTGCTTCATAATAACTGAGAGTTGTCCTTTCATATGACACAATTGCCTCTATTGTTCACAATTTCTCATGCTTGATTACCAACTTTTGACCTAATTTTGCCTTCTAACACAAAGGCATTTCCTACATAGTTTACTCTTCAATTACGAATTTCGAAAAATATGCACAAGTTAACTGGCTGATATACATTCAAGAACTGGATAACTTCATATCCAGAACCAGAATGCTTCATTACTTCTATTATGACATAATTATTTCATTATATAAACAGCAAAAATAACAGCTTGTAACAAAATTCCAACTTTAATACTCCCCATCCACGGATACACCATCTTTTTTTTTTTCTGCATTCTGTATTCCAACCACCATATATATAAGGCAAAATACATATATTGGACCCTAAACTTGGCTTCAAATTTTAACTTTGACCTCCAACTTTCATAGTGCACAAATATGCACTTTAACTTGTATAAAATAGAACAAATAGACACACATGTCCTACATGGCATCCTACATGTCATTTTTTGTCCTACGTGGTGTCCTACGTGTATTGTGCCATGTAGGACTCGTGTGTTTACTTGTTCTACTTTATACAAGTTAAAGTGCCTATTTGTGCACTATGAAAATTGGAGGTCAAAGTTAAAATTTGAAGCCAAGTTTAGGGTCCAATATATGTACTATGCCTATATATAAATGCTCTAACTTAATTTAAACTTTTTTTAGAAGATAAACTGATCAGTAAATAAGGCATAGGAAGCTAATCAAATACAGAATTGACAAGTAGCTTACCAGTGCCCACCAAAATCGAAGCAACCAATTTCATTTGTGATTAAATAGATGAAATAAAATAATCAACCCCACATGAAAAAAACTGAAACTTTGCATTTGGATGGACCAACATTGTTCAATTAAGCAACCAAACAAAGAAAACAACACATTCATATTGAAAAAAAAATAAATCTTTCTTGAGTAGTTTTAAGCAAAAGGGTGTTCATTAAACTCAAAGAAAGATCAAGAAAATGCAGAATGAATGAAATCAGAGTTTTACCTTACAACACAAACTAGAAGAACTCACTGTTAAAACAGAGAGAAGAAGAGAATGGAGATTTATTTAGAGTAAGCAAGAATGTTGGTGTTGAGAAGGTGAAGAGTAAAGTGGAGAAAAATGAGAAAATTATAGAGAAGTTGTGAGTGAATGAGAACTGAGAGAGAGAGCTAGAAAGTTCTATTTAGAAGAAACCGAATGAAATGCCCAATGTTCTAGACCTTCTCGAGAGACAGAGAAGGATCGTGAAGGCGGTAGTATTCCGGGTCGGGTTTTAATAACCCGTAGTTAAATGGTATGTAGATTTGGGCCAGGAAGGAAAGAAAGTGGGCCAAGGCTGTGAAGTTTATTGGGTTTGTAGCCAATATTATAGGGAAAATTACAAGAATAGTTTTGAAATTGGGGAATTTACGCATATAGCCATTCAAAATAACTTAATTAGGCTCTATAGATATAGTTTGCTAATTACGATTAGTAGCTACATGTTTGGGGGGGGGGAGAGAGGCGAGCGAGAATGAGAGAGGCGAGCGACATTGGGAGAGGGAGGAGAGAGGCGAGCGAGAGAGAGCAATAATTTGTATAATTCGCAACACGATTGTATAATTCGTGTGTATTTATATAATTGAGTAATACAAATTTCAGAATTATATAAATGTGATAAAACTCGAAATAACGAATTTATACAAACACAAAATTTTTGAACTTTAAACAGTTATACAAATTATTTTATGCAAAATCCAAAAACTACACGTTTATACAAACTTTAAAAAGTTATACAAAAAAATTGAATGTATCTGGTGATAAAACTGAAAAACCAAAGGAAATCACTGTCATAGACATATACAACCATTGTATACAAATATAAATCAAATGAAGAATTGTTAGTTGCGAATTATACAAACGTGACGAATTATACAAATTCAAACCCAGCCCACGTAATTAACGCTTAATGTTAGTCGTAAATTGTAATTATAGCGAACTATAGTTATGATGACTAATTAAGTAGTGTAAATTTGCTTAATCGCGTAATTTTCCCTAAATTGGGTAGTATTAAATTTTGGAAAAATTACTTAAATACACACCTTTATTTTTCATAATTTCCATTATTCCCTACCATTTTAAAATATCTCCAAAATCCCTCTTTTTCCTCCCAAACCCCACTGTTCCGGATACATAAAGTTTCAACACTCAAAACACACGTTTCTCTTCCTAATTTCACTTCCTTAATCTCTCCATATTTCACTCCCTCAATCTCTTCCTATTTTCACTTCCTCAATCTTTACTTCCTTCATTTTTTAATTTTCAGATTTGTTCTCTCACCATAAGATCACTCCATAACTTTTTCCAAGAACTCAAGTAAGTTTTCGCTCCACAATTTTTTCCAAAGAACTATCGAATCTCCTCCCTTTCCACATTCACAAAATGTATAAGGGAAAGGTGAAAGAGATGATGTATCCCCATTGCTCCTTGCAACAAAATCGTTTCCAGGGATCCTCTTTTGCTGGTGAAATCACTTTTCATTGTTGACAGTGAAAAAAAGATACATATGTTGATATATAGCAAATACAAAAGTGTAGGGGGATCTCTTCGTCATTTTTTTTTTTGCTTTCAACAGATCAATTGTTGATTTTTTCGATTTTTTGTTGTTCATCCTTTATAATACATATAAGTTCAGATTTTAATGTATCTAGTTGATTTTGTTTCTTAAACTAATGTATAATGCCTTCGTTGATTTTTAATGTATCTCGTTTATTTTGATTCTTAAATTAGCCTTTGTTAGTGTCATCACTGATCTGATACATCACTGTTACAATAACTTTTGTTTTATGCAATGTATCATATTCATATTTAAGGTGTTGATACATAACCCTAATGTTGTTGAATATTCGATTAGTTTTATCATATTTAATATAAATGTTGTTGATACATAAACACTACCTAATGTATCATCTACATGTATCAATTTCTTTAATGTATCATCAATTTTAGTCAAATTTAAAAGGCTATTAGCTAGTAACAAATCAGTTGTGTGTTATGTATCTGCGCTCTTTAATATTTGTTCAGTTTTACCCAACTTAGAATGTGATGTATATATACATTTACCCAATAATAATCTTGATACATAAATCATAATGTTCTATAACTGGAGCACTATGTATCAGATCCAACAATAGGTATATATGATACTTATTCAATCTTTGGCAAACTAGAACTACATGTATATGATACTTAATAACTACCACACAGTAATGTATCGATCTAAAAATCTTTACTTCTCTAACGTATCTGATAGGATTAAAATACTGAGCAATTTACTAAATATTTTAGGAATAATAATGTATCATGAGTAATGTATCCTTTTTTCCACAACGTCTGCAAGGTATCTCGTCTAGTTGAAATCTATCACAATTACATATTTTTTGTTTAAGGCAAACAATGTATTTTCTTCCAGCATCAAACTAACACATAGAGTCACAATTTTATAACCATCTTATAACATGTACCAGATACATTACAATAACCAATGATACAACCACTCAACAAAATTCAAGATGGATATATATTTATGTATCATCCACACTTGTTTCTCGATCAAAACAAGTAATTTACATATCTTGATTGTTATACTATTTATATGTATAATATACACAATAATAGTTTGAACTTTGATACATTTATACGAATTTGTGATACACACACTCGATATTCAAAACGTATTTGATACATCTTAATTGTTAATTCATTTATTACATGTATCGTATACAATATATTATGACGATACATTTTTATACAAATTCCATCCAGATACAAAATAATGACCACATCATTTACCACTAATGTATCATGACTTACATTCACATCAAAACAACAAACAAAACAATGACGCTGAGCTTTTTTCTTATATTGATCACTAGATTCTGTTTCTGTCGAAGAAAAATGTCCAAAGGTAATGACCATTGCTTTGTTTTAGTCCTTGAAGTACCAAAGCTTCAGGTAACACTGCAGTCTACACAATATCAAGCAATTAAACTTGAAGTTTATTAACTGCAATATGGTTCGACACGTTGCATATGCGCTTCACTTGATCAACAACAACCCCAATTTAGAAAGGCTCCGATTAATGGTACATCTTCTTTTTTATTAAATAGGCTGAATTGCTACTGCTTCATCTGGCAATTAGTCATAAGCCCTCTTTTTCAGTTTCTTAGGTGTAATGATTCTAAGGATGTTGTGAGTGTTTTATTCATCACTTGTAATCCCAAATAATGACACATAATGCTCATAATGGTGGATATATATAAAACTGATTTTGTTTTCTGAAATGGAATTTATGAAGCATATATTGGCATCTGCAACTGCACTTGAGAAAATATGCATTGTTAGCAATGTTAGCAACTTCTCAGATTCATTAATTTTCTCTGAACAAGAATTAACTTTTCAGAAATCAAATTAAATTTTAATAAACGAAAGATGAAAAAGGGGAATAGAAACTTACTAATTGACAGAGGGATCTTGTTAGCAATGTTAGCAGCAACCAAGGTTGTCCAATTAGATTTGTGTGATACATTGAATTCAAATTACTCAACAATTTATTATACTCAACGATTTCAAATTGATGATTCGAAATCGTGAATCGTTTG